CCTGGCTCTATATCTTGCATTCTTTTTGGTGACTTGTTTTCCTCCCCTGATCGCGGTCACTTCTGGAGTTTCAGTATGTATGCAGAGTAGTCATTCCTCTTCTGGTCCACACTGTCCTTGAGGTACTTACTGGTGGATGTTACATTGAAGGTGGTCTGCAGGGCCTCCCATGGCAGGCCCTAACAGGGCATCTATCAGATGTTTGCCTTCCTTTCATTAAATATTTGAGATAAAGTTCACATAACATAAATCTAACACTCTAATCATTTTACACTATCCATTAGTGACTCTTAATATGTGCACAGTCTTATCCATTACCCACTCTACAGTTCCAGAACCTTCCTATGATTCTAAAAAGAAGCCCCATAACCATTAGCAAACTACCTCCTCTTTCCCCATTCTCTGGGCACCAGGCAAGCACAAATCCATTTTCTCTGTCTATGGGTTTGCTTATTTTGGACATTTCATGTACATAGAATCACGTACTACGTGGCCTTTTGTGCCTGGCTGCTGCTGCTGCTTCTTCTCCTTCTCCTTCTCCTTCTCCTTCTCCTTCTCCTTTTCCTTCTCCTTCTATTTAGGACAGGGTCTATAGGGTCCACAAGGTCTCACTACACAGATTGGACTCATAGTGATTCTCCTGTTTTCAGCCTCCCAAGTGCTGAGTTTACAGGCATGCACCACCACACCCAGTCTCCATCACCATCTCAGGGCTCCCTGCAGGCGGGGGGTATTGAGCCCTGGCTGCTGTGCTCTCCCTAAGTAGGCACTTTAGTCCTGTGCCTGGCTTCTTTTACTTCACATTTTTTTACCAGTACTGAGGATTGGACCCTGGGCCTTCACACTGAGCTATATCCCAAACCCTTATTAAATATTTTACTTTAAAACATTTTTTTCTTTTTATTTAAAATATTTTACTTTGCAACAGAATCTCACTAAGTTGCCCAAGCTCAAACTCACAACTCTCCTGCCTCAGCCTCCCAGAGTGCTTGGGTTATGATTGTGTAGAGCCACCTTGCCTGGCTTGTGCCTTTTTCTTTTTTTTTTGAGCTGCTTCCCTGTCAAAGCAAGAATCAGAGCTTCACCCGTCATTAAGGCCAAAGAGAGCTCCATACTGTGGGTTTCCACACACTGTCTGCCCGTCAGTCCAGTGCTGCACGTGGGGCTCCTCCTCACACACAGCCGCAGACTCCTTTTGCACTCTTGCTCTTAGTGGATTTGTGTGTGTCCTTAGGGGAGGAGCAGCCACTGTACCCTCTCTCCTTTGCACAGCAGCCCGTGCAAGCTTATTTATTTATTTATTTATTTATTCAGTGTGTGTGTGTGTGTGTGTGTGTGTGGCCAGCTCAGCTCACCAGGGGGCGGGGCTGGCTGGCATGTGGTGCTGGGGGATTGAACCGCAGTCCCTGTGCTTTGCCAAGCTTGTTCCAAGTAGGTGCTTTAGACCACTGAGCCATCTCACCAGCCCAAGCTTAATTTTTTAATATCTATCCTAACATTTATTTTCTACTGCAAATTCTTTTAATGAGCACGAAGTGGTGTCTCATGTGGCTTGGCTTTTCATTTCCCTGAGGACTAATGATACTGAGTGTCTTTTTATGTTTATTGGCTATTTGTCTTTTTTTTTTTTTTTTTTTTTTTTTTTTTTTGTGGTACTAAGGTTAAGCTCAAGGATACTCTACCACTGAGCTACACTTAGCACTATTTATTTAGTTAGTCCTTTTGAGACAGGATTTCACTATGTAGCTTAGGCTGGCCTTGAACTCACAGAGATTCTCCTTCTTCAGACTCCCAATTGCTGTGATTACAGGCCGGAGCATGAGTGCTGTTCATACAGGCACCACACCTGGCTATTTATTTTTTGACACATGGTCTCATGTGGGTGCTCTTTAGGGGAAATCTTTTAATGTGTGTATGTGGGTGGGTGGGTGGGGTGGGACTGGTGCCTGTAGCTGGTAGCACTGAGCTATATCCCTGGCCCTTTTTTTTTTTTTTTGCAGTACCATGGATTGAACTCAGGACCCTGCCCTTGCCAGGCAAGCACTTGTTCTACTGAGGCATTTTCCCAGTCCCTCCCAGCCCTTTCTAATTCTTTACTTTGAGACAGGGTTTCAAGTTGCTTCATCTGGGCTCAAAGTGTCCATCCCTCTGCCTCAGCCTCCCAGAGTCCTGTGATTACAGGTATCCTCCACCATGCCCAGTTTATTTGAGTGTTTTGCCCATTTTTAATTGACTCTAATTTTTAATTTCGCTTAAATATAAAGTCTGTCCATTTAGCCATCATAGGTATCTAGTTTAGTGGTATTAACGACACTCATTGCTGTGCAGCTAGCACTGCCAGCCACCTCCAGAACTTTTTCATGTCTCCAATACTTGTTTTTATATATTTGTTATTATTATTGTGTGTGGGGGGGTTGTTTTGTTTTTTGAGACAGGATGTCCTTGACTTCACTATCTAGGCCAGGCTGGCCTCAAATTGATAGGGATCTTCCTGCCTGAGCTGCCTGAATGCAGGGATTTACAGACATGCAACACCTTAAATCCAGGTGTCTCTAAAGTGTGCAGTTGTGGAAGTTCTTCATATGATCTGGATACTGCAAATGTTATCAGAGAAATGATTTGAAAGTGTTGCCTCCCATGTGGCTGCTGTCTAGAGCTCACACACTGTGTACGCTGGTGGCTGTCACCATACCCGTGGTCCTCAGGAGAAAGCGCCCTTCTGCTCCTAGCTTATGGGACATTTTCATCATGAGAGTGTGTTGGATTCTGTGGGATGCTTTCTCTGTTCCCATGGAGACGATCATGTGGCCAGTTTCTTTTTGCTCCCTGCTTGGAAGCTTTGGGTTGGAAATTCAATCTTTGTGGGTTTTCAGGGATTAAAGAGTTATAGTTTTACGACTCTTTTCATAAACAATTGCGAGCTCTCAGTTATAGTAAGTGTTTAAGGCAGATGAAAAGTAAAGCCAGCTCCCATGTGGCTCAGGAATTGGGAGGAGAAAAATGAATGAAGCTCTAGTGGCATTCAATAAAAGACCCAAGGAGATGAGTGACTGCTATTGGTCTTCCCTTTGAAGAAAGGAGTGAAGGTGGAAGGAAGGAAAGGAGGAAAGAAGAAAGGGAGAGAAGGAAAGAAGAAAAAAAGCATTGTTTTTTCTTTTCAACTCTCCCCATGCCTGGCCCAGTGCTGGAGATCAACCGTAGAGCACCCCCAGTCTCCCTCCCCTTAAAGTATTTTGAGATAGGGTCTTGGTAAATTGCTAAGTTACTCCAGCTGGGTTCCCACTTACCATCCTCCTGCCTCAGCCTCCAAGAATGCTATGATTACTGTATAGGTGTGTCCTACCATGCCCAGTTTCTTCAAAATTTTGCAGAGAGATTCTTTGTAGGTTTGTGTCTTCTTCGCAATGGTGTGTGATATTCTAGTTCAATGTCAGGATAACTGATCCTTTTGCTTAGGCTCATCGCACCCTGAGCATGCAGCATAGTTAAGTCTATTTCCTCTATATTTTTGTTTTGGTTTATTTTTTGAGTCAGGGTCTCCCTGTGTAGCTATGTAGTCCAAGTTGGCCTAGAAATTTCAATCTTCTTGCCTCAGCTTTCAGAGAACTGGGATTATAGTTGTTGCCACAATGCCCGGTCCGCTGCATTTTCAAAATGATGAAAGGTCACCCTCCCTAATAATATCTACCCGAAAAACTCCTCATGCTTGGGAGGACCTTGCAACACCACCCCTCCAGTGAGTCATATGTCATAGCTATGGTGGCTGTCTGGACAGGGGAAAGGTGCTGAGACTCTGGGCTGAGATGGAGCAGTCAGTTTGTCATGGGATCTTGGAGAGCCAGAATCCCTCTAGACCTCAGCATGTTTCTTCTTTTTGTAAGATGAGGCTTTGCTAAATTGCCCAGGCTGGCTTTGGACATGTAATCCTCCTGCCTCAGTCCAGAGTGGTTAGGATGACAGGCATGTGCCACCATGCCTGGCTTCAGTTTCAGTATCTTCAGGATCTCAGCATAAAGGCACTGGATTCCATTCCCAGAGTCCTAAGTTCCAGGTCTCTGATTCACTGTGGGGCTGCAGGCTCCCTGCCCACAAGGCCTTTCTCTCTCCATGTCCCGGACAGGGTTCAGTCTATTGGAGGATTGAAAGCTCCAGTCACTTCCCAGGTGTATTCTGGCTGTGCCTGGCGATGGTACTCCAGGCTGATAGGCCAGTGGCAACATTTAGATTTCCAGTGCTTTCTGCGAGTAAGGATTCATGGGGCTACTGGCCATGGTGGGAGCACACAGTGTCCCCACCTTATTAAGCACTCTGCCAACCCCACGCATACACCCCATCTCAGTTAATTCTCAGTTAATTTTATGGCCTAGGAACTGTTACCCAGTCCCTTTTACACACTGGGGACTGAGCTAGAAAGGGTAACCGTGCCTAAAGACACAGAGAGCCTCTCAAGCTCTCTGTCTCCACGAAGCAGAGTTACATGAGAGAAGCAGAGGCGCGGGGCGTTCTCGGGGCTGGGGCTCGCAGTTGATGCTTTGAGTTTAGGTGGAGAAGGGAAGGCACAGGCGTGTGCCGCAGCGGGCCCCCGAGAAAGAAAAGCGGGAAATCCGGAGAGACGACAGGGTGTCCCGGACTCAGGGAGGGACCGAGGCGTCGAGGCAGAATCCGATAGGGGACACACCAGGGCCCACAAGTGGGGCGCTCTGAGGTCCATGCGAAGAGCCCTGGGGTGAAACTGGGGGTTTTGGGTTTACAGGCATAGTCCGGCACGCGAGTGTCCTGAGAGCAGGGGGCAGATCCAAGGGTGCAGGGAAGGGTCGTGGCTGCTGGCGAGGACTTGGGTGAGGGATGGGCGAGGGGTCACCCAAGGGCGGGGTGCGGAGCGGTGGGTTCGGCAGGGCGAAGCACAGAAGCCTAACGAGTGGGAAGCCCCGCCCCTGCCCGCTCAGCCCCGCCCACCGACCACGCGCCCCGCCCATTCCCAGCGGCTCCGCCCTCGAGTTCTTTTCCCGGTCAGCCCGCGAGCCCCGCGCAGACCTCTGGGTGCGACTGGCGGTGCGGGTGGTGGTGAGTGCGGCGCCAGGGTGAGCCAGGGCGAGCGGCCGGGGATGGGGTGGTTGTGGGGTGTTGCGGAGCTCCCAGAGCGAGATCCTCGCGGAGCCCTCACCTGCCGGGAGCCCCGGGGCCTCGTCCTCGGCAGGGCTTCCGGGAGACCCCTCGGCGGGGTGATGGGGCGCGGGGTCCAACCTCCCGGGGCTTGTTCTGCCGCGTTAAAAGTGGAGTTCGACCCTGAGTTGCGAAGTGGGCCGAACAACTGTGCCACGTGTGTAGGGGTCGACCCCGATCGCGTGCTTTGCTCGTCCGCGGGGTCCCCCTCCCGGGAGAGGCGCGGACGCCCCGGGCTTTTCCGGAAAAGGCGCGACTCTCCGTCGTGGCTGTAGGTCTCTGCGTTGGAGTTTCTAGAGTCGTCATTGGGATTCAGAAACGAAAAGCAAACAAAACAAAAAGCCCAACGAGTTTCCGGGCGCCGCAGATGGGCTCCTCGGGGGCGCGGGCATCGCTCTTGACGGATGAGTTCCTCGCGGGAACTGGGATCATTTTCCGGGGACACTGACCGGAGTGAGCTTGGGCCCCCGGCCGACCTCCCGGCAGCGTGGGGGTGGCCCACTGAGAGCCTAGGTTTCCACCGTTCCTTGTGAGGGCTGGATGCTGGTGAGACAGGCAGAGACCGGTGACAGAGGTGGGCATCCTCTGTCTCTGCTAAGTGCCCACTCCTCTCTGGCTTCCAGGGCAGTGTGGATCTGGGCATTGGGCCCAGTGGGTGTTGTGTTCGAGCTCTGGGTTAGAAGGAGGAGGTTGATGGGGACATGGGTGTGTTCTGCAATGGCCACGCTTCAGAGATCAAGCCAGCTGGACCTTCCCTGCTTTCCTGGTTGGCTTTGTACTGCCCATGAGTGAAGCTGGTGTCTGAATGTCAGACTAAGCTGCGGTCTTTGGGAAATCCAGTTGCTGGAAGCCACAAAACCCTGTGAGCTACCTCCAGACTTCCCAGAGGGAATGTTTCCCTCCCTTTGGCTTGGTGAGCTGGAGCTCACTCAAGAGCTGCCTGGAGCCCAGGAGTCCTTTTCAGGAAAGTCATGATTGGCACAAATGTGTGCTTGATAGCTTCCACTGCCTCATCCCACCCGAGTCTTTTTCTCATCCTGGCTGTTTTAGACTGAGACTAACCTCATGCTTGTAAATGCTTGTAGAAAAAGGCATAAGGCGGTATTTGGAATCCTTCCAGTGTTTGATTTTATCGTTTGGATTAGGATCCAGTGAGAGGGTGACTTGCTGTCCCTGGCGTGGAGTCACGCCCATAGAGCACTCAGATTTCCTCACAGCCAGCCTTGCTGTGCCATGTAAAAGTGCACTCGGTTCTCTAAGAAACATTCATTGTAGATCCACTCTGGGAAAGTGCCATCTTCCCTCATTCTTGTTACTTTAAGGCATTAATAATGCATGCTTTCATTCATATTTGAAAAAGTAATCTTGTAATATTTTTGTGCATAAGTGACTCAGTGTTTGATGTAGGATCATTTTTTTTTTTGGCTCGGAATGCCTTCAGGGCAGGTTTGGCTGGCTTGAGTTGTGGGGATTGAACCACAGCAACCTGAGCCTGACTGCTTTGTTGAAGCAGCCACTTAAAGAACTGAGCTAAGGGGCAGGCCCCCTGTAGGATCATTTTTTTTTTTTTTTTTTGGAACTAGGGATTGAACTCAGGCCCTTGCGCTTGTCAGGGAAGCACTGTAGGATCATTTTTAAAGTCTCTAAAATACTATATTGAAGTAATTCCTTGTCTCTGGTAGCTACATTTCTCTTTGTTCTTTCAGTTGCTTTTATGGGTGATTGTGAAGGATTATTTTTTTATTTTTTGCTGGCTCAGGCTGCCTTAAGGGTGGGTCTAGTGCTGCATGTGGAGCTGAGGATTGAACCACAGTCCCCTGCGCATGACTGGGTTTACCCAAGCAGGTGCTTTAAACAACTGAGCTAAGCTGCAAGCCCCCTTTGGGTGATTGTGGAGAAATAAAATGCCACCCTTGTGTGTGGGGGAATGGCTTCAGGTCCTAAGGGGCTTATGCTAAGGGTGCAAAGGAGGGACACAGATGAAAAAGGAAGTGCTCACTCATGCCCTTTTAACTTGGGGAAGTGTTTAAGAATGGGAGGGAGGGAACTGAGTTTGGGGAAGTTTCCTGGAAAAGCTAAAGCAGGAACACTTTCAAAGAAGCAGGTCTCACTTGGCAAAAGTGCAGAGGGGGTGTCTCCAGGCCTGAGGTCAAGGAGTGTAAAAGTGGACCTATGAGAGGAAAAAACTAGAAGCCATTTCCAGGCTAAGCTGATTTTCAAGATGATAAATTGTATGCTTTGCTGTCTTTAATCTGATCATCCCTGCTGATGGGAGATGAAAAAGGCTGTGGCCCCTTAGGGACACAAAATTATCTGGAAGATGAATCTCTTCATAGCTACTGAGAGAGTGAAAAAAATGGGGCTCTGTAAAAGGAAGACTAACAGTCTTAGCACCGTAACTTGTTCTCCTTTTATTTTTTGTTTTTACTACCATGAACATGGCCTATGGAGCCAGGTGGCCTATCTTGATAGGTAAATAGACTTCTTCATTTCTTTATCCCACATGTTTTTGACATCTCTGGACATACAGCTTGATCAGGGCTTGATTGGTGTTAACTCACTTTAGAATTGTTATTTGAGGTCAAGTAGTACTTTCCTGGTTCCTCATCATTTTATTTTATTGTTTAAGCCTGAGTGACACTCTGGACAGAGGCGGTCACACCTTTGGATCTAATGGAATTTGTCCCTCAGGCCACAGATTACTTCAGTAAAAGAACTGTGTTTGATTTTATTGTACTTGTAGGGGCAGAAAAGTCTAGCCTCTGCTTTCCACACTGCCAAGAGATTTCTATAACAAAGACAAATTAAATATAGGAAAGCATAACAGGTTAATTTGAATAAAATTTTACAGGACATAGGAATCTTCTGAAGTGAAGAATCAAAATCCCACGAAAATCTGTTCGTTTTTATGCTCAGATCCAGTAAGGTATGGATACCTATGTAGAAATGTGACAAGAACAGGATGCAAGCTAATGGGAACAGACTGGGAGACCAGCTCAGATGCCTCCTGGCCCTCTGGGTCATGTGCTTTCCTTTTCCTGGTGGGGCCAGAGCCTCTGGACCCAGGGTCTTAAGACCTACTGTCAGACAGGGAGATGAAGCCTTCCTCAGGGCCAGCTCCCATGCAGGAAGCTGACACACCTGGGGTGACAGTTCAGGCTCAGTGGCTTTGGGGAGAGGGGTCTGGTTCCTGTGGCCTGGTCCAGGAAGAGGAATCCTTTTTCTGGCTGCCTTGGGGAAAAGGAAGCAGGGAGAGGTCAGAGAGCTGTTGTTTCTGTTGCTCTTCCTGTGGTGTCCAGTCCAGAGTCTGTGTGCCACATGCTGGTGTCATTTTCTGCACTCCTAACAGGTTTAAGACATCTCAGAGAAAGGTAATATTACAGAGAGACTGTGGGGATGGTAGCAATTATTCCCTTACCTGTCTTTCTTGTAAGGAGTTTACCAGGATCCAAAGCTCGAGGCTTCAGAGAAAGTAATGATGGAGAATGTCAGCCATTTAGCTCATGGAGACTTAGACTTGGCAGTGCTCCGTGGGTGAATGTAAGGGCTCAGTGTTGGCTTGCCTAAGTCTTGGGTCCAGTGAGGTTATTCATAGACCACGTACGGATGTCTTAAAAATGTACAAATACCACTATTTTAGGCAGTGCGGAAAGTAAAGAAAGAAGTCAGCCATCATTTCATCACAGGAGCACAAGTCTTGCTTATTGGGTGGCTTCTGGCTTTTCTCACTGGCTGTTTTTCTTATAATTGAAATCAGAGTACGCACAGTTTGGTATCCTGACACAGGCTTATTAATGATCTCTGTGTGGTTTCATCAAAAGCCATCATTCATGTACAAAGTGGGGATGTGGTTTCACCAGGAATCCAGTGGGAAGTGGCCCTCTCTGATTGTAGGGAACAGCTCAGTGCTCTATGGATGGAAGCATTTTCCATTCCATTCTTCCAATCAGTGTAATTTATAGTTGCGCCATATTGAACCTGGGTTTGAGCTGGTGGTAATTTTATCTCTTCAGCTTGTGGAGCTAGTGGCCCTGCAGGAACATGCTGAGTTCAGAAGATGTAACTTGAAAACATTTCTCTGAAATATTTCACCATGCTTCTGTGGCTTTTTTTTTTTTTTTTTTTCCTTTCCAGATATACTGAGTTTGAATTCGTTTGGGGTCGGAGTAAAGTTGGCTTGCAGTTTCTCACTTTCTTCTGCAGAGGACTGGAGGTCTCAGTTTCCCCTTTTGTCTAAATCCTTCCTTTTCACCATTTATGATTTAAGAAGCGCCGTTCATTCTATTTGGACATTTTTCTAAAGCCATAGGCAGAGTCAGTTCTATTATGACAGTGTTGCAAAATCTGTATTTTAAAGATTACTAGCTTGTGGCCCTTAGGCTTAGAATTTTAAGCAGTATCTGACTTTGTAACTGCAAATGGGGTAGTACCTTAGGGTTTATGGTGGTGTGGATCTGCAAAGCTACATTTTTGTAGAGCATTTTTCTGCCAGGGCATTTAAAGACCAAACCTTTTGGCCTTCCCAGTAGTTCTCAGTCTTGTTTACAAACTAGACTTTTCTGGAGTGACCTGGCAATTTACATGTGAGTGCCCTTCTTTTGCTGAAGGAATCCTTTTTTTCTTGGGGTCATTTCTGTGATCTACATATTCATGGAAATCTGCCTAGTGTTTCTTTTCTGGGCCCCTGGGCTGTGGACATGGGGATGGAATTGAATATTCTTTTTCTTTCAGGAAGAATTGATTTTAGAGGATTAAGTTGGTGGTTGAAGCGATGCTTTATCTCCCTGAAGGCCTTGCTCTTTTGCGTGTTGATCTGATACCTGAACCTAGAAAATGGTTCATACAGGGGGCAGAGTGTATTTGTAGCAGCATTTACCACCTACATGTGGCTAAAACTACTTTGTGAGAGTTCTGAAAT